GAGGGAGGGGAGGGGGGGGGAGGGGGAGGGAGAGGAGGAGGAGGGAGAGGAGGAGGAGGGAGAAGGAGGAGGAGAGGAGGAAGGAGGGAGAGGAGGAGGAGGGAGAGGAGGAGGAGGGAGAGGAGGAGGAGGGAGAGGAATCAGAGGAGGAACGGGAAGAAGGAGGACAGACAATCACTGTAGAGTCCAGAAAGAGGAGAGCAGCCATGCTGGGGGGAGAGAGTGTGAAGGAGGAGGAAAAGAAAGGAGAAGAGTGGAAGAAGGAGCTGAGGAAGAGGAGGGGGGTGAAGAAAAGAAGACATGGAGGAGGAGGAGGGTGAGATCAGAGAGGAAGAGGAGAAAGAGGAAAAGACAAAGACAGGAAGTTGCTGATGTTGGGAATCACTGCCACAAACATCAGGAAAAGACGGAGGAGGAACTTCTGTTGCCGCTGTGATTGACAGCTAAGACAAAAGGACAAAACAAGACATCATGGCAGGAGATGGTGTCATTTCCTGTCTTAGGTCAGCACACACACACACACACATGTCCACACACACACACTCTCTGAGTAAGAGAGAGTGTGAAGAGGCTGGTGCTCTTGATCCATGTCACAACTCTATCACTGGGAAACCATTGATTCTGGTCAGAAAAACTGCTGCCACAGAAATGGAGAGTGGAAATATTGATATGAGTCATTTATATGGGAGAGAGAGAGAGAGAGAGAGAGAGAGAGAGAGAGAGAGGCAGCACATTTCACTGATCATTTGTCTGTTTTTGGTCCATGGACCCGTAAAAGGGTTCGATTTCTGAGGCTGAAGCCTATTACTGCCCAGACTGAGAGAGAGAGAGAGAGAGAGAGAGGGAGCAGCATTGAGACTGAATATCTCTACACACACACACACACACACAGTGTGTATTAAACAGTACAGATAGTTTCTGCTCAGGTTTGACCTGTACAGCTCCAGTCTCCTGTGGTATAAAACACCTCAGCTGCTCCAGAGTCACTGCTCAACAATGACTTTTTGATTCTCCAGACATTTCCAATAGAGGACAGATCTGGACTGTAGGCAGGACAGTCCAACTGCTAACATGTACACCAGCACATTATCAGCTGAGTTAGGGAATGGAATGTTGTCTCTAAAGGGAAAAGGTGGTGAGTCGTTACTCCATGAGAACAGAAAGGATAACCAAACCCACCTGGTGACCTGAGAGAGTTCTGCAAAAGTGTGTCTTTGTATTTGTTGTTGTTGTTTAAAAACTTTGAAGTACCTGATACTTCATTGGTATGTGTCTCAGTGTGAGTTCATCAGTGTCAATGCATGAACGCATTAATAAATGCAAGTCTGTCGCTATGTAATTCCACATTGTGTGTGTGTGTGTGTGTGTGTAAGGAGCGTCTGTCAGTCTGGGCTCATCAGAGCAGCTAGCTGCTTCGCTGTGTGACACAGGCTGATTAATTTCCTGTTAGCGTCCTGCAGCTTCAAGGCTAACCGCTGTTTTCTTCCATACATCCATCGCTTCCACACAGTTTGGAATCTACGCGTCTCATTAAGACGTGTGTAGGACTTAGAACGACTTGGAAACAATGTACACAAAGTAATCGTGATGTTTGGAAAGCGTGTCGTCGGTTGGCCCAAACTTTGTGCCTTTGTTAAAGATGAAAAACGGGCCAAGAAATAGTTCCCTAAAACTTCTAAAATCTCTAACTTAAACCTATTTGCTCCTAAAGGCATAAACGTTCCATGTTTTATTTATTTTAACTTTTCCTATGCACAATCTGGAACCCATAGCTCCAGATTAATGACCCCACCCAACATGGCCGACACCAGCCGTGCCCTCCTACCTTGAAGCTCTGCAGCTGGTCTGGGGCGTCTTTGTCGTGTCTCAGGCAGGAGTTGAAGATGAGCAGCTCAGTGTCACGAAGCCACACCTTCAGCTCCTTGATGCGCGTCTCCAGCTGCTCCAACAGTGAGTTGGTGAGCGGCGACAGAGCAGAGCGGCGGTCCTCAGCAGCAGAGTCACCACTGACTGACAGAGAGTCGCCACAGTCCAAACGGTTCTGGGAGGAACCAGGTCCTGAGAGGATTTTCTAACAATAAAAAGACAGGAGACAGCAGAGCAGAGAAGAAGACAGAAGTTAGAGAGAGGACTCCTTGGAGTATTGATATCCCATCATGCAAAGCAGCATATCAATCAATAGGCTCACAGCCATTAATCATTTTCACTGGGAAACACAGTGATCGATAAGAAGAATGTCCTGTGATTATTGGTAAATACTGCAGGGAGGAGTGTGAACAGGAGTGATACACATGTCACTGCCATGATGATGTCACAGCAGCTCAAATACAGACAGCAAAGGATGGTTAGACCATGAACGCCACCACAGAACTTCACCAATGAGGATAGTCAAGTTTTAGATGATTAACCAAACGAGTGAAGATAATAATTCTGTGTCCAAGGTGATTGGGTTTAATATGGAGTACAGGGGCCAAGCTCATAAAACCAACTAATAATAAATTAATGAGCTGGTCAAAAATGAAGATACAATTAGTATATACTTGGTATTCTTTTTATTTAAACCACTGAATGTGGTGACCTCCCACACTGTCTCATTGTTGGTTGACCTTATTGAGATAGGCTAAAGATGCTAACTGTTTGTGTGACTCTATTACTAAGCCTTTTATTATAAATCTGATTTAACATTAATATTCTAATACTTTGTACTTACTGGTTTCCCTAAATCTGACCTAGCCTAAAGCTGCCTCTACTGTTTCTGTGACTCTCAGTTAGCTAAAGTAAAGTGACAGTTGCATAACGATGTTTATTCTGTCACTGTGATTCCATAATGTTGAATTTAGCTTGTTTTCAAACCAACAACTTAGCACTGACATGTTTGTTTTTACAGTGTAACAGTGACTCTGTACTATCCTGAAGATGCTAATGCCTTCAGCTTAAAGTAACCAGAATGCTAAGATTAAATTAGCTAGCCTATGTCAACTCTGTTGTGTGAAAATATGATGAATAGCCAACACTGACTGAACCAGGTAAGAATGGTTCTGTTTGGTAAATATGAATACTTCTGGTACTGTGACTCAGACTGAACCTGGTGTTGACTGTGAGTGACAAACTTCTGATCACGTCATGCTGTCACTGTGCTTCTGAATTAACACAAAGTTGCTAACTCCGCCGCTGCCACCTGTTACCGCTGCGATAACGATTACGGAAGAAAGAAGAACGTCTTCAGGTGCAAAGACTTTGGAGGTTTATTTACCCACTGAGCTAACGCTCGCACTGAGACACAACAGCTTTTTAGACAAAACAGAAACAGAGTAATCACTGTTTGAAATGAACCACTGAGAATAACAGAGTGTGTGTGTGTGTGTGTGTGTTCTAAGCTCTGCAGAGTAATTTTCCAGCCTCTGTTGATCAAACTGTGAGATAAAGCGAACAGCAGAGAAACTGCTCCACAACAAGATTCAGACGTGTGTGTGTGTGTGTGTGTGTAAGAGAGCAGAACTTTGTGATTTTGTCGTTGAAACTCTCACCATCTAGTTGTGTGACAGCAGTAATCATGGTTATTGTAAGGACTTCTCCTTCAGCTGCAGTTCTAACCATTCTCTAACTAATGATTATTTTCAGTTCATCGCTCTTAAAACCTCCAGAATAATAGAACCCTTTCATCCAGAAGTCACCAAACACAAACCGGTGTTGTCTCGCAGCAGAGGCTCTTCCTGAGAGTTGGAGCAGAGAAACTTGGACCGTAGAACTGTTGCTGCTGCTGAACGAGCGCTGTGTGAGTACCGCTGCTAATTTACATATGTATGTGTTTGTACAAAAGATGTCGCAGCGGCAGCGACTCTCCCTCTTGAGCACAAACACCGTTTCAGCTGAGCTGCAGCAGGTAAAAACCAGCCCATCAGGAGACAGACGGGACCATAATAAGACCCCCTGATCACTGAAATGGGCCGTTAGCTTTGTTCTGAGAAGAAGTGGCTGCGTTTACGACTGTGGGGTTAGTTTGGCAGAGAAAGACGCACGGAAAGATAAAGAAGCTCGGGGGGCAGGAACGGTTCTGAGCTGTTGTTATTTAAGAAAGAACTAAACAGGGAAACAATCCTCAAAACAAAAGTATGTCTTTTCACAGGAAACATCGACACAATTACAGGATCACCGGGTGATGAGGATAATCTACTGAACTGCCTCTCAGACCACACATGTTCTACAGACTGAAGGAGGTACAGACACACGACAACGTCCCCATCCAACAGAATCTTAATCAAACGTGTCCAGACTGACTTCCTGAGCACAACAGTGCTGACCTGGCTGAAAATAATCAAGTTGAGTCGATGACGTCATCACATTGACAGAGGAAGAACTACAGACACCACTTTGTTCTATGCTAGCAAGATTAGCATCTTGGTGTGTTCTTGTATTGTATGGCTATTGGTTACGATCATAAAATATCAGCGTAAGCCAATAAGAAGTAAAGACTCCTCCCAGGGGGTGTGGACTTGTCCACACCAAAGTCCAAAGAGAAAATAAGCTGATTTTAGCTGAAAGGGACACAGCAGCTTCTGGTCCACTGCTGCCTCCAGTGGTCATTTTGTGTCACTGGCGTTAATCACTTTGAACACCTAAAGTCCCAGAATCAGACTTTTGAACTTGGTGAAGGAGAGCAGTGGTTTAAAAACTGCTTTCTAACTGTGATGGAAAACCGCTGATTTTCTCAGTGGGCTTTGGTGTGGATGAGTGAGTGGTTTACAGTGTCCTGTTCACAACACAGTCTCACACTCAGATGAAGAAGTGAACAGTCTCTTAACATATCAGAGACCGAAGATTAAACTAATGTAAAACGGGTCCACGCGCTGCGGTCGACTCGGACGGTGATTTATTCCGACTCTAAATTCCAGATGAAATCTGCAGCACAAAGAAAGATCATTAAATCAAAGAAGGTGTGAGAGAAGGTAAAATAGAAAAGTCTGGAAATGAGGGAAACAAATGCGAAAGCCTTCCAGTGGGAGCGAGTGAAAATGAGAAAAAGGAAAATTAACAAATAACAGAGACGAGGAAAGGAGTGGAGCAGAAGGAAACAGAGATAATGTGCTGTTGTTTTAGGAAACACAATTAACACTGTGTCTGTGTTTGTCTGTCTCTCCGTCTGTCCTGATGACCTGCTGCTGGCTTCATGCTTTCTTTCTTTTTTTTACTGTTTTGGCCACAAATGCAGATGAAAATGATAAGGAGTTCATTTACCAGGGAGATGAGAGGGAAGTGATTTTCACTCCTAGGTCTCTGCTGCTCTCGTTTTCTTATTTTCAATTTTATCAGCAGCAAACACCAGATATTTACCTACTGATTAATTCTCTACTGTTTTTTTTTCTGCTAACGTTTTATTTTTATATTTAAAGTAAATTAATTTGCTGATAAGATCTGTAGAAGTCTCGTTTGAAGAAAAGTAAAACTTTTAGTAAAAAAAAAAAACAGGTAATGAATGGTTGCTAGTTCGAATCCCAACACTGTTCCCCCCAATGGTCTGATTCTATGAAATTGTCTTCACTGATGATTCCTCCTACTGATTGCAGATTCCGATAATCCGGAAAGATTGACGTCAAACCCTCTGAGACCCTAATTTGGTCTCCGAGGGTTTCCAACATGGCGTCCAGACGTCCTGAAGTAAGGGCTCATTTCACACAAAAAATGACACTTGGGCCTGGGTTTGTCAGACACTGAGGACTTGTTCAGTTGTCATCAACCTGCTTCACTGTAGTGAACCAATGACATCTATTCCCTTCATTCATATTTAGACGGTGAAGACGAGTTAAAGGTGTCTCCAGTCAGGAGCCATTCCAGCTGTTAATACCTTATATATATATAGATATATGCTATCTACTTAGTTACTTCTCTTAGTTACTTCTCTTAGTTACTTCTCTTAGTTACTTCT